AGGGAAAGTTTGGACTGGGGACAGTGTAAAGGGCCTGAATTCCAAGTAGAGGAGTCTTAATTGCATATTGTTAGCAAAAGACAACAATAGGGTGGGAGGCAAAACAACAGCAAAAGATTAGCTTACTTAAGGCAGGAATACGTTATGATCTTGTTTGTTTTTTAAGAACCTAATTCTACCACTGGTAGAAAGGCAATGGTAAAGAGGTGAGCCTATAAGTGGGAGAACAGTTTGAAATTGTGTGGCTACGATAAGGAACTAATCTGAAGCAGTGGTAGTGGATAGACACAACACACCCATTTCCAGAAATATGTCTAAGACAGGATATGAGTTCCAGTGGGAATGGTAAAGAGGGAAGAGTTAAAATAAAAATAAAATTCTAGCTTTGCAGGTTGGGGGCTGACTAAGGTTGAGAGGGCAGAATATAGACAAAGTTTTGGTGATGATGTTTTTAGTGTGAGAAATTTGGAGAACCAGCATGTTTTGTTTTTGTTTTTTTTTTAATTAAAAATATTTTTTCTTAGTTTCAAGTATACAGTACATTTGTTAGACATTTATACAGTTTGTAAAATGATCCCCCCAATTGCTTCTTCTCTCATCCAGTTTTCCACCTAGTCAATATATTAATGCTAACTGCATGCCTTATGCCATGCTCCCCATCTCTGTGACCATCTATCAACTACTAATTTGTACTTCTTTAACTCTCCACCCCATTCTCCCAGCCTCCAACCTTCCTCCTCTCTGTCCCTCACCAAATTGTCCTCTATATTTATGAGTCAGTTTTTAATTAGTTTGTTCTTTTTGTTCCTTAGATTCCGCATATAAGTGAAATCATATGGCATTTATCTTTGTCTGACTTATTTCACTCAGCATAATAACCTCAGGTCCATCCATGTTGTTGCACATGGTAGGACTTTATTTTTTTTAATGGCCAAGTAATATTCCATTGTATATATGAACCATAACTTCTTTATCTAATTGTCTGTTGATGGGCTTTTAGGTTGCTTCCATATCTTGGCTATTGTAAATTGTGTTGCTATGAATATTGGGGAGCATGGCTTTTTATAGGTAGTAGGAAATATGGCTCTATTGCTCTCCTGATAGGCTGAGGCTAGAATTATGATTTAGAAGTCATTAGAATTGTAACTGAAGTAAAAGAGTCACCCAGGCAAATATATATTTAATGAGAATAAATGAGGACTGGTAGTGACTGCTGGAGAGTCAGAACGTAGAACTCAGAATCAGACATAATACTGCAGATATTGCCTAGACCTACACCAAGTGCAGTGAGACATACACTCTGTTTCGGATACTGGTATACTCGGTGAATGAATTTATGGTTATTTTTGGCCATCACATCTCAAACTATATTAGAAATTAACTAAAATCTGTGGATGATTTTTGATTTAACTACTATTAACTTTGGTCTCTTCTTGGCTATATTTGTGAAAATCATTTTACAAACCTTAGTACTTTCCAATTATATTGATTGTATTAGCTATGGTGCTTTGGGTTCAAGAAACAGAACAATCTGCTAAAAGCAGTTTATACTAAGAGGACATTTATTTCTCTCATGTAACTAAAAATCCAGCCATGTGTG